CCCCAAAACCCCAAAACCCCAAAACCCCAAAACCCCATGTTTTTGGACAAAAATTGAAACTTTCTATATTCTAAAAAATTAATCAATTAATCAATCTCAATTACTTCAGGTGGTTGGTTTAACTTCTGGACTTTCTTATGGCTTCTACCTCCCTTGAGTCTTCTTGAAGATACTGAATGTTCTTTGTAAAATTTATTTAGTGTAATCACTCCATTATGAGCAAAATGGAAGATGTCTGACTTTATCTTGAAGAATTCAGGTAACTCTTCTTCAACATTGAGAAATAAGTCATCAAGTTTACAAGCAGTAGCTTGGTGGAATTCTAACCCGCAGTCTTTTATGTGAATCTTCTTATTTTGTGTCAACTATTGTCTTGAATACCTTGATTACATAACTAGCTTCAGCTAAGAGGGGAGGTGGAATCATCATCAAATGTTGATAGTTGTCTAAACTAATAATTCCAAGTACTTGTAGAGCTGCAATATCACCATAATGGATTGTTACTTCATCAACAGGACCTTTTCTTTCGAGAATGATATATTCTTTGAACATTCTAGGCTTCTCAATTGGCTTATTTTCTTTGTCATCATTACCCCATCCTTTATCCTCTTGCTCGATCTTTCTTCTCTTAAAAGGTGCACTTTTGAATTCAAAGCATTCTCCTTCCTTGACACTCATACTCTTATATGCTACTTTGACATCCCCTGTTCTTGAAGCTTGATGAAAAGAGCCTACAAATTGGTTAGTCATTCCTTTACTATTAAAGGCATTATTCATTGCTTTTGCTGGTTTCATTTTCCCCTCTTTGCATTTAAAGAATCTGAGATGTACAGTTCCGAAATACTCTGACCCGAGGTATTCTGGTCTCTATATGAAATAATTAGACTAGGTTAGCTACATTACTTACCTTATATATAGTGTTACCAAAGTTATCGATATCGATGGAGCTATCAACTTCTTGCACTTCCTTCTTCTCTTCTTCTCCTTGAGGGGGAATACTGAAGAGGAACTCTCTGAATTTTCCTCCTCCTTGCTTGAATCCATGGAACCACCCTTTTGCTCTAAAGGTTTTCTTACCTTTGACTATCTAAAAATGAGAAAAGAGGGACTTACCTTGCCATCCAGATAGAGGTGGCATCCGAAGGACTTGTCAGTGTGCTCATTATCTGCTATTATGTTAATCTTAAATGGCTGGTTGTTTTCTACTCAGATGTAGTTTTTCTTCTCTGGAGTTACCAATTCTGTAAATTCTCTCTGTGTTTTTGAATTTACAATGGATACCTATATCATAAAATTAATAATAACTCAGTAAAATCTACTAAGACTTCTTGCAAGATATTCTTGATAAGACTTATTCACATAAAAGATCTTGTAGATAATGTAAAGGAGAGCAAATCCTTAGTGCTGTAAAACTTACCTTGAAAGTTCCGTTCTTTGATACCGGCATTTTCTACTTTTTTGAAAATAAAAATAGATTTCAATCAATATCCTTTTATATGGGGTTTTGGGGTTTTGGGGTTTTGGGG